GGTACATTTTAGGAAATTCCCTATCTTATAACACTAGCTCAAAATCCTGTAGCACCAGTTTTTTTTTGGGACCCAGTTCACGAGCCTCGTTTTCGAATACCGCGCTCCAAAATCGAGTGCCGTCACCGTCGTTGTGGTCGCCCATCCCTTTATTTTAAATTAAAAATTAATTATTTTATCCCCGCACCCCCCCTTTAAAACAATAGGCCAAACACCATGTTATCATAATAAAATGAATTTACTGATCAATGCAGAAAAAACACAAAATAAACAAAATTATCCTACCTGTAATACTTATGATGAAATACCAAGTTAATTTTATTGCCATTATAAGTCACTGTCAATTTTTTTTCTAATAAAACCTGAAAATTAAAAAAATATATATTTTTAGTACACAAATCGTAGACAAATTTAGCAGCACACAACCCTCATTCTTTATTGTATATTTAACAGTTATTCACTGCCAGTGACAACTTTAACCCATCTATTAGCACATACCCAACTTTAGCACATAAATGAACTCCTCATTCATTGGCAAAGTCTAGCACAAAACGAGAGCATCAATGATGCAATAGCCCACTTGACAATATACTGGCAATGCTTAAGTGCTGTTGGTGAGTGGAGGTTGTGTGGGGTGTTGGTACATGTATTGAGCATAAAAAAAAAAACGTTTAAAGTTATAGTAGTTGTATGTATCATCATAGACCTTTTTTGTTATGTTCACTTAACAGTTAGGAAAGGTGCGATGTCGTGTACAGTGATATTAAAGGAAATATGGTTGTTGTAGGGGTTGTTGTGTACGTATGTTTCGGAAATATTTTTACTGTAATTATGAAGATATATATGTAGCGGTTTATGATTTTTTATTTATTTATTTACACTCTCATTCTACAGCGGGAAACCCGCCACTTACAGAATGGATTAAAATATTAAACATTAAAATATGACAATATGATTAATATAATAATAATAATAATAATAATAATAATAATAATAATAAGAGTAACAATAATTCATCTTATACAATTTTACAAATTTTCTTACAAAAACATCCATAACTGTCAAATAAAAGGTCAATAGAGTTGTCTTTGACAACACAGTTATTAAAAAGAAGACAAATACGTGAAATAAAACCATTTTTGGTAACATTGACACGACAAAATGGAACATAAAGCAGATTACGTTTAGAATTATGTGTTCGACATCCAATAGCTTTAACATGAAAGGAGAACAAGGAAATAAAGTTACAATCATACAGAGAATTCACACACTTATACAGAAACTGAAGATCAAAGACAGAACGACGAGAAACGAGAGAAACGGACAACACAGGACAATGGCAAGTAGAATAAACAAAACGAACAAAACAATCCTGAACCTTTTGAAGACGGGTACTATGAGTAGAAGAAAACGAATTAGTTACAACACTACAATACTCAAGATGAGGGCAGACAAGTGAGATGTATAGTTTAATCAAGGTTTCAGAATTTTTAAAACACCAGCAGTTACGACGTATCATACCCAGCATTCTATTAGCTTTACTAACTACGGCATTAACTTGAGGAATAAAGTTTAAATGAGAGTCAATAATAATACCAAGATCTTTATGACGGTCAACTCTTTCAAGAATGTGATTATTAATATTATATGCATATTGGATATATCGTTTTTTGTTGGTAATTGTCATTACTTTACATTTAGGTAAATTTAAACTCAGCTTCCATGTAGTGGTCCAACTAAAGAGAATGCAAAGATCATTCTGAAGTGAATTGGAATTATTAGGAGAAGTAATAGTTTTAAAAAGTTTAAGATCATCAGCAAAGAGTAAGCAAGAGGAGGACAAATTTGGAGGAAGGTCATTTAAGTAGACAGTTTGGTGAGTGAATGGAATTTGTTGCATAAAAGTATTTTATTGTGGTCCTCTAAGAAATATATTTTTCCAAAGGCACATTATAATTACGTATATCATTTGTGACCCAAGCTCACAAACGGGCTGTATACTAGTCCTCAGGCCAAAATGGCATAGAACATATCATTTACATTAAAATGACAGTTAAATGAACTCAATCGGGTGTCTGGAAGCAAAGTTATGACCGTTTGAATAATTGTCATCTTATCAACTTTTTAAAATCAAGTTTTGAGAAAAATGCTTTTATTTTCAGCAGGTTTTTATTCATTTTTCATTAACTCCCATCTGAAAATGGCTAAATTTTACCTCTTACAGTTGGAATTTTAAACTCAAACTTCAGGAATAGTAAAATTAATAATTATACTTTATTTATTACACAAAAACACAATTCACACAAAATTCACATTCTACGCCCTATTCTGGGTATTGAGGCTTCTTTCTCAATACAGTGCAGTGCGAGTTTACAGCCCGTTTGTGAGCTTGGGTCACATTTGTCTTTGTTTGTTAGTTAAACATGCAGCTTTGTTTGAGAAAGGCTAAATAACTTCTTGGCTGACGTCAGATCTTGATGTATGTATATGTTTATATGTATTATATATATATATGTATATATGTATATATATATATATGTATATATAGATAAAAAGGCAAAATACTGGAAAACAACAATGCTGTGGGAAACAATGGCTGGATCTCAGTAGAGATACAAAAATGATAAGCAACAGCTAAAAAGTAAACGTAAGTAAACAGCCAGAAATAGAACCAGAGCTTTCGGACAACACTAGTCCTTCCTCAGTGGCGAGTGAAATGCTATATGTGTATACAAATACATACACATATACACACTTACACATATATACACACACACTTATATACATACATACACATATATACATATATACACACAGACACATACCTAGAGCTCATTGATTTCGTACAATTGCATAACTGTTACAACCGAACAAAGTTGTAATACCGTTTTTTCACCATATTTCATATTCTGACTTTTATTTTAATCATTAACGTATCTTTTCATTGTATTCATGGAGATGAGAATCCTAGCCTGCATTATTTATTAATAATATTTATTTGGCAAAAGGCATATAGGAGAAAAACATCATGCATTGCCCGGACAGGGAATGGGTGAAAGCCCGAACAATATTTGCTCCCTAAATAATCAGAAACATAAAATGAATTACCTATTCACCTGAAATGCTTCACCGTCTCCGACTACGTTCTAAGCACCTGGACATTCCTCCAGTCACGAGAAATGTATGTGTGGACCTGAAACTCTTCCGCCGAACTCGTTGTGGTCGCCGCGGTAGGAAAGGTGTACATAAGAAATGTACATGGATAATTTCAAGGAAACACCGTTTTCTTCGCTAACCCATGATATCACAAGCGATGTTTCTATTGATGAATATGTGTCCTGTTTTGATCTCAGCTTAAAGAGGTCACTTGACTTACATGCCCCCTTGCAGATATTTCAAATTAGAGAAAAGCAACATAATATCTGGTATACTAATGCTGTTCACCATGAAAAGAAACTTTGTCATTGGCGAAGAACAAGTTTGGAAATTGATCGAATTAATTATGCTCATCAACTTAAATTGTTTAACTCCACATTAAAGTCTGCTAAATCCTTATTTTATTCATCGAAAATTTAATGTTGCTCTAACGATCAGAAAAACTGTTAAGTTAATTCATAGTCTGTTTAATTCTAATGATAACCAAACTATTTTGCCCTCATTTTCTGATGTTTGCGATCTCCCTGAACAGTTTTCTGATTATTTCTTTACTAAAATTCAATCCATACGCTCTTAATTTGACAAACTTGACCTCAATACTGCTGCTAGTCATGATGTACAATGTACGGATGTACTTGCTCCATTTATCATTACTATTATTAACAAATCTCTGTCTTCCGGAATTTTGCCTCTGTTAGACAATTAATTAAGAAGGATAATCTAGACAAAGATACTCTTAGCAATTACCGTCCTATATCAAATCTGCCTTTTATCTCAAAATGTATTGAAAAATGTGTGGTTTAACAAATTAATACTTACATAAATAAAAATAACCTTGGTGAAGTATACCAGTCTGCATATAAACCTGCTCATAGTACTGAAACAGACCTTTAATAAATTGACAAATGATATTCTCTATTTTGTGATTCTGGTAAGGCTGTCGCACTTGTTCTTTTAGACCTGTCTGCTGCTTTCGACACAAGCGACCACTCCATTCTTCTTAACCGCCTGTCGTTTCAATTTGGTCTCTCTGATATTGTTCTCACTTGGTTCTGGTCATACCTTGCCTCTCGCCAACAGCACGTAAACGTTCTCGGCTCTGTTTCCTCTCCTAAAAACTTACATTCTTGTGTTCCACAAGGGTCTGTTCTTGGTCCTCTACTTTTTTCGTTATATATTTCCACCGTTGCTAAGATCATCCGCTCCCATAATTTATATTTTTATATGTACACCAACGATATCCAGCTTTATCTACCTTTCAATCCATTTTCCGACACACAAAGCACCATCAACAAAATTCAAAGTTGCATATCTGACATTGAATCTTGGCTCTCTCATAACATGCTTAAATTAAATCCTTCCAAAACTGAATTTATTGTTTTTTTATCACGATTTATTACCCCAAAACCAACCTCCCCTCTTTGATTCTTGGCTCAACTGAAACTAAACCATCCTCATCGGTTAGGAATCTTGGTTTTGTTATGGATGAGTTTTTTTCGTTAAATCTGCATATCAATAAAATTTGTCAATCTGCCCATTATTACTTGCGTAACCTTAAAAAGATTCGTAAATACTTAAATTCTAAATCTTCTGAAACACTTGTCCATGCCTTCATTTCTTCAAAACTTGATTACTGTAATTCTCTATTCGTCGGCTTACCATCTTTTTCTATCAACCGGTTGCAGAAAATTCAAAATTCTGCTGCCCGAGTGTGCTCTCTCACCAAGAGACGTTTACATACAGTATTACACCAATCATTCGAAATCTACATTGGCTGTCTCTCCAACAATGCATCTGTTTTAAGGTTCTTATCATTTTAAGGTTCTTCAATCTAAACAACCCCCCTATCTCTTTCACATTCTGAAATGTTATGTCCCTAACCGACGACTCCGCTCTGAAAACAAAAATCTTCTCGTCATCCCAAAATTTAAAACACAAACATACAGCAAAAAAACATTCTCCTATGCTGCTTCATCGCTGTGGAACGAATTGCCACTCTCTATCAAACTGTCTCCCTCTATTGATGTATTTAAGTTAAAACTGAAATCCCATCTCTTTAACTCTTTTTAGACCATTCCCACTTTGCATTTTCAATTTTTAAATCTTTCTCTAGTTGTACTCTGCGCTTTTGATCATTTATTTGAAATTAGCGCATTATAAATATTTTTATTATTATTTATTATTATTATTATTATCTCTCAGAGGAGA